CATTTATCAACCTTAAACATATTTAAAAACTAGAGATATTATCTGAGTTCGATGTAAGTTTTCACACGAAGGTGCGGGAGTGCAATTTGTCATGTTTTACTGACCGTACAAAACACGCATCGGCGGGCGCTCTTATTTATCGACAACAGACAATTTGTTGGATTTTTACACAAAGAAAACTGAGCAGTATCTACAGATATAAACTTATTGTCACCTACTGGGCCTTGATAAAACATCAAGCGTTGCCTACTATTCAGGCGAAACTCAAACTTGCAATTATTTTTTTTACTTTTCGGTCGCGATCGACTGGCGAAATCCTCGCAAGCGTGTGACAAGAGGAGGGAAACTTTGAAGTCCTGAAACGCTACTAGATCCAACTATATCCAACTAGTTTTTTGTTGTGTTATGGAAAAGCTGTTAACGTTCAACATGTGTGAAACTTCAGTAGAGTGGAGTAATGTGGAGCTCTTGTAAAAGATGCTGCGGAACACAACTTGGTCAGTGATATAAAGCGGCACATAACTAAATATTGACACTGTCTCACTTCACTCAAACTGGAGAAGCTTACGACGAAAACACTGAAGCAAAATTCCAACAGACATGAACGTATTGAGTTGTGGGCCAAAAGTACCAAAACATTTTGGGAATTTCGGACGCCATTTCCCCGCGCTACATCCGCAAAAATCCTCGCAGCGTGTACGCGCGTGTACCGCACATGATGGCGCAATTTGTTCTAAAAATAAAAAAATTGTCCCATATCATGGAGACAGCTCCAATACTAGAAATAGCGCGCGCTTACGGTCTCCGTCCCAGATTATGGCTCCTGTTCAAAATTTTATCTAAATCATTTTCACAGACACTTCGAAAACGCAAAGAAACGGCCGTCATTTAAATAACAAGCGCACACTAGTCACTATATCTACTTAAGGACGGTGCCTACTTTTGTTAGTGCGCACAAGTTTTGCAAATCATGCAAGCCATGGTTTAGCTCCACGCGCGCGCTGGGGCTGACATTGACGCAATCAATTACGCTATCACGTACACGACTAAAATGAAAGCAAAATTTTTCTACTGTGACCAAATCAAGTTTAATGAACCTGTACTCAAACCAGGAACACCAGAATGACAGCATATCGCTAACCACAAACTGTTTACGTCTTCCAGCTGAAAACCTAGCTATTATTTGTTTAAAATTATACTGAAATCCAACTGTAAACATGTACCTGCAGATGGCGCAGTGCGCGCGCAAAACAAGTGCAAGATACGCAAATGTCTCACTTACTGGGGAGGTGACAGGAAAAAAAATGTAACGGGCACCGTAAAAATTTCAAAAAAGATCAATAACTTTAAAAAACGCGTGGTTACCCCTACATTTTATGTTATGAAATGGAAGTG